GGGGGGTGGGGGCGGCGGTTGCGCTGTTGGTGGTGATTAGGTTCGGCCGCATCGCCGCCCAAAAGCTGGTCTTGGAGGGGTGGAAGATGGAGCGGGCGAAGAGAAGGCGTGCTACGGAAGGCGGCGGCGGCGGCGGTAGTAGTACCGCTGCTGCGGTGGATGGGGACGGCGCGACCGGATCGAGGCGAGATACGTCAGGGTACGCTGCTGCTCCCGCTGGCCGCCGCCGCCGCCGGCCGCGACCCGAAAGGGAGACGGAGACGAGGCGCCCTCGGCCAAAGGGTGCCAGCAAGAAGAAGGGGAAAGAACGGGGTTCGGCGCGAAGGACCAAGAAGCCCGCGCGAAAACCCCTGTGGGAAGAATCGGACGACGACGACAGAGGCTGTGTGGTGATGTGACGTGGCGTGACGTGATGCGACTACGTACATCAATGCGCGCACAGACGTTGGTCCTCTTGAGCCGCTGGTTCGGATATATTTGGGCGATAGATAGCTTTTTGTCGTCCGGCTGTTTTGATTGGCGGGAAAAGGCGTCGGCAGGCGCCGGGCGAGGTGTTGCGTTGACCTGTGTGGGCGCACCTCGCGCCGTTCGGACTCGTGGGGATTGGTTTGTTGTGATTGGCATCGATTCGGGCAATCAATCGCTGCGCCATGTACAGGAGAGGATGCGTACCTTGGATGGAGTCGTGTGCCGGCAGTGTGTGGCTTTGTCCGTCTACGTATGTGACAACAGCAGATTCCTTTTGCGGGTGGTTTTTTCGGCTGCGACGAGAATTTGAGGTGCGAGAGGCACACCGTCGTCGTCGTCTCTCTTGCAAGCATCGATCCGGGAAAATACACGAACGTGGAAAATCTGTCCCAAATTGGTGCTTGACATCGTCGCGAAAGAGAGTCGACCGTTGCTGTGAGAGAGAGGGCCCCGGCACAGTTCTGCAATGCTCACGTCCTGCCTTGTTGATCCCAAATGTGTCCGCGGGTCCGTTTCCCGCGTCTCGCTAGGAGCAGAACGTGGGTCAAAACAAAATTTAATACAACTGAAGAAGCTCCCGTGCGACCTTCCTCCATGTGACCCCGGCTGAATTGTCAATATCTAAACCTTAAGGTTCGTAGATTGGTGCCTTGCCCGGCTCGACCGACTCACGTACTTTATTATTTGCTTGTTTTACACACATACATGAACATGCTTTACTTGTACATATCACTTCGCCTACAGTAGTTATATAATATATATATTGCTGCACTCAGAAACGTTCCGAACGCTTGCCCTTTCTGGCGCGATTCCTTGCACTTGCACTCATACGTACCTCCGGTGTAACTATGCATCGTCGTCGGTACATGCCGGTCCAGACAAATCACCTCTCTTGAAAAAAACGCCACGGCCACATCTCCGCCTCCTTGTAGAGTGTCTTTCCTACCGAAGCTCGCTTCACGCTAGCTTTCGACACAGGGGTGAGCACCGCCCACTACAGCACCAACAAAAAACAAGAAAACCAACGGCTGGCCCCGAATATCAAGGAACACATCAACGTGTGTCGCCCCGCTACTGGGCTGCTCAGAGACAGACGTCCGGTCGAAGTAAAACTCTAATAGCAGTACACATAAAACAGGCATGTAGCAAGGCAATCAATATATTACTTCATGGTAGGATAGGGCTCGCGACAGAAAAACGCCGCGAAAAGCGTCCTCTTTTATTAAAAGGGCCCACCGTTGCCGGCGCCCCGCACCCACTCTTCCACCGCCGGAGACGTCAGCCGGGCTCCTCCCTTCCCACCACTGCTGCTTCTGCCGCTTACGCTTTCGCCGCTCTCACCCCCCCCGTGCGTGGTGGAACTTTTCGCACCACGGCCGGCGTCGGCTTGTGCTTGGTCGCCGGCCGCGCTACGTCGCACAGCAGCAGCTGCGGCATCGTCGATTGCCTTGGCCAGAGTCCCACGTCGACCTCGCCGAGACCCGAGGGAGAGGCCGTCTAGCAGTCGTCGTCCTGGGGGCGCCACTTCGAGCCTGCACACACGGGCGTACAAGGCGGGGCCATCAGGCACAAAACACGTCGCAAAATGAACGGGCGCCAAACGAATCAGAAACCGAAACACGTGCCATTTTGTTGTCCCGACCGGGGCTGCCATGTTGTTGTTCGGGTTGAGTCTGACTTTTGCTGGCGGCATCCCAACGAACGTCTTCAACACGCAAGGTAAACCAAGCTTCGCTGCGTCGGCGATAAAATAGCTGCCAAATAGGTCAAATAACTGCTACCCTCGGGAAGGCTCCGCAACGGGCACTTCGACTCGTCGACACCGCACCCCGCCGACTCTACTCACTCACTCACTCACTCACTCACCTAGCGAACACCTTCGTGCGCTCGGGGCCAACGGGCAACAGCACAACCACGTAGCGCACGGACCCCCTCCCCCCCCCCCCCACCCCCGGTCGTCTCTCCTCCGCTCCTAGCCCCCCGGATAGCCGTCTACGCAGCCAACGACCTCGTGGGGGTGCGTTCCACGCCGCCTCCTTCTCCTTGATCACCTCTGGCGATTCGCCATCGGGGACTGGTGGAGGAGAGGGTTGGTCTCGATCGGCAGATGCCGGGGTTGAAGCCTCTTCGCTTCGCGCCGCTGCTTCTGCCGCTGCTGTCGGCGGCGGCGGCGGCGGCGGCGTGGGCTCGAAGCGCCACCCCACAAATGTCGGAGGTGCGAACACCACCTCCCCCTGTCCCCGCGGTGAACCGGACGCGGCTAAGAGAGAGAGAGAGCGAAAAAAAGGCGGAGGAAGACATTGCCACGGAGGGGGAGAAAGGGCGCGCGAAGGTCGAACAACCGGGTGGAAGCCGCCATTGCGTTTGGGGGGTTACTATTATAGAGGCCGGACGATGCCTGATTGCAGCTCTTTTCTCTGCAGTGCAGAGACGTTGTCGATCAACCCCTGTGATCACGGGGAAGAGCTAGGAGAACGATCATTTCATGGGCACACCAAAAGTAGACGGTCGACGAGGGGAAAGGAGCTGCTGCATACCACCTGTCACGACCAAAACAGAATAAGATGAGCACCGCTCAAGGAAAAAGGGAGGCATTGTAACTAAACTCCCGTCCGCGGCCTTCCTCTTGTGTGACCCCCGTCTGGGCCATCAACGTACGTGGAAACATGAAAATAACTACCCTGGCGTCCAGCACAGCAGCACACACACACAGGCACCGAGGCCGACACACAACCAACCTCGGAACACTCCAGCGCTGCTGCTGCTGCTGTCGGCGACACTCGAGAGGCTCGAAGCTGCCGCCAGTACCCAAGCCGCCGCCTCCTCCCGACCGTCGCCCCCCCCGGCTGCCGCCGCCATCACCGCCTCCCCGTGGGCGGGGTCAAGGAGCCCACCGACTGCTTCCGAGTACCCGCAGGGGACGTCGTGCTCGACAACGACAACCTCCAGCCGTCGCCGTCGCCATCGCCGCCGCCGCAGGCCGCCGCTGCCGCCTTTCTTTTCTTCGACCCCAGCACCGTCGCCGTAGCCGCCCTCGGCTGCGGTGTGGCGCCGCAGCAGCAGTCGCCGCCACGGACTCGCCGTCTCGCCACCGCCGCCACAGCAGTCGTCGTCCAAACCGGCAGCAGAGGATGCGGGGCTCGCCAGAGCCGCCGCTTCGAGGCCTATACCATGGAAAAATACCGCAGAGGCGAACGCCGGGTTTCGATGTGTTCAACAGGTCCGGGATGAGGCCGGAGATGGACAAGGGAGAGGGGAAACAACATGGCGCAAGTTCCGACGAAACAAGCAGGGAGCGAGCGCGTTTTCGGCGTGCTTTTTCGGCGACTGCTGGAATTGGGGTCCATGGAGACAAGAGGGAGCGGAACGGGCGCGGTGATCTCAACTCGCCGTGGTAGATGCGTCAGGACCTTCCCACCACCACCACCCGACCATTTGACTGCAGCTCTCGTAGCTGCGCGTTACCTTTGGGCGATGTGTCTGGCCAGGCCCACAGTAACCCAGAGGACTCTCTCACGGGCACCTCCTCCGCCGCTGCCACGGTCGAGCTCCTCGACGGCTTCTCTTCGTCAGGGCCGTCGTCGGGGGCGACAATCGACCGGCATCTCCACGCCCTAGTTTCGAGGCTTGTCGGCTTGTCGGCGACCCCGTCAGGCGGCAGTAGCTCGTACTCTCGGCCTAGCATCTGGTGCGAGGACGCACGAGAGGAGAAGTCGTCCGACGTTGTCGAAAATGAGGCGAGGAAAATCACTCTTTTTTTTCTACAACGAGAGGGAAACCGATATTTCGTTTCTTGTTGTGCGTGTTTGCGGCGACTGGGCTGGGCCCTCGCTCGAGGTAGAGGGCCGTACTTTTTTCACAATCGAGGCAAGAGGAAGGGATCGTTTCTATGTCGACGACGACTGTCGAGTCCCGTCCAAACTGGCGTTTCTGCTACTACGTCGCCCGATGATCGCATACGCTTCGCACGTAGCGCTTGGCTACGCGCAACCGGCAGGTTTGCCGTCAACACCGTGTACACACGCTTCGTTGGATGTCGAAACGCCACCATCGCGAGAAACCCGTATCGTACCTCGAAACGGACACTCCTTCCGTCGCCGCCGCGCCATCGCCGCCGCCGCCGCCGCAGCCGTCGGAGGTCGGACGCGAAGGCCACGGGATACCTGGTGGTTGGGCGAGTGCTTCAGGAACCGGTATCAAGAAGAGTTCTACAAAAAACGTGTTGTTGGCGTCTTGGTCGCCCCTAAACACCATCTGTCCCGCCAGCGGAGAAACGAGCGCTGAGTACCCAAGGCGTGTAGGCACTTTAGAAGCGCCAGCAAAAATGTCCACGGCAAAAAAAAAGGCTGTCAAAGAAAACCCGTCCGCAGTATTGGCCGATTGTGTGCTAAATTAATTTGGGAGCGCGCGTCTACGGGTAGAGTCGCGTAAACTTCCTTTGAGATGCTCCGGGCGGAAACAGGGAGCTACTGCCGTAGTTCCCTTGGCTCGTCTTGTATGTCTTTCGCTGGCTCTCCTACAGAGAAAAAAAACGTGCGCCCACGCCCCATCGTTCACGCGCGTGCACCACCGCTGGATTCCTTGTCAACACCCTTACTCATACAGCTCAAATCTATGAGCGCGAGCAAGCGCAAGAGGAGGCGACGGCAAAACGAAGAAAAAGCAGAACCACCTCCAAGACTCACCATTGTCGCTCCCAGCAGACGGCGTCCTCTCTCCGCTTCAGCTCCTCCTTCTTCCGCGGGACCGCGGCTTCAACCCAGCCCTTGAGGAACTCCACCGCGGGTTGCACACCCCACGCGCCGCTGCTACCGTTCGAACCCTCCCGGTCAGCGGCCTGGCCGGCTTCTCCCGCTCCCCCCCCCCCCCCCGCCGCCGCCGCCGCCGCCGCAGGGTTAGTATCGGCTTTGGACGGTGGTTGTTGTTCAGGGCTAGTCTTCAAGGCCGAAGCCGTCGGCCCCACCGACGGTGCGTTTTCCCGACTCTCGTCGCCGGTTGCTGCATCCGCTCTCGGCTTATCGTTTCGCTTCGCGACGCCGCTGCCCCGGCCCTCTCTGTCTTCTTGGCCCGCTCCGCTTACTGCTTGCGGGGGAGCAGTGTTGGGCAAGTCTGAGCCTGACTCTCGAGGAGTCGATCGCGCCCTCGGGAGTGGCGTGGGTCCGGCAGTGGCAGTGGGTGCGGAGGAGGGAGCGGCGTCAAGGTCTGCTTCGGAAGTGGCGGTGGCTTCTTCGGCAGCCAACGCCTCGGCGGCGGCGTCGCTTGTGAGACCTGCTGCTGGCGAGGCGGCGGTAGAAGACGACGCCGCCAACTTGGTCGCCGTCGCTGCCGCTCCCGTGCCTACCGAGGGAGGAGGAGGAGCAACCACGGCGGTAGAGGCGGAGGTTCGAGACAACCCAGACGGGGTCGCCGTTCCTTCGATTGCCGGAGGGTCTTGTTCACCGGCCTTATGACCCGAACCGTTGTCATCGCCCATTTGTTTGGGGTCCCCCCGCGCCCGCCCAGCAGAGGCACCCGCAACGACCCCCGCTCGCATCAAACCGTCGTCTGCCAACACGGCCGCCGCCGCCGTTGCACTCCCTTCGGGCTTCAGGCCAAGGGTCCCCGAAGCGATCGCAGTGGAAATTCCTCCACCAGCAGCACGCCTATCAGCACCACCCTCCGGCTCCTCCTCCACCTGTTCGAGGGGACCGGTGTCGGCAACGGGGCGTGGCTCCAAGGAGACCGGTCCGCCGTCCTCAGCCAATGGAGGGCGAGTGAGCTTTTCGTCCTCCAACGCTGGTGCTGAAGCGGGGGCGCCAGGTTCGGACTGAGGCGCGGCCTCTTTGGAGGGCGCCACAGCAGCAGTAGCTCCACCGACCGACGACTGTGTTGAGCTCTCCTCCAGGGTGGGCTGCTGCCGCCCGCCGACGCCGACGCCGCCGGTATCGGGTGGATCCGTCACCGTTCGCACCGGTGCCGTCGACGTCGCCATGGCTTCCTCTCCGCTCTTCTTCGCCGCCGCCGCCGCCGCCGCCGCATCCGATCGCCCCGCCGCAATTTCCAAGCCCGCAACCGGCGCAGCCCGGCCCCGCGATTCTACTCGCGCAAGCACCGTCTCTGACACCGTGGGAGTTGGGTCGAGCACCGCTTCCCTTGTTCCAGTCGTCGCGTTGCTGCCTTGGCTGCTGCCCGCCGTGTTATCACCATCTTCATCGAACGCTACCGCCACCGCGACAATCGACCTCTTCCTGCGGCGCCACGAGGAAAACCTTCCTCGGAGTCCGGCCAGCCTCGACACGGGCGTGCGACGGTCGCTGCTGCTGCTGCTGCCGTCAGACGCGGTGCTCTGTTCCCCCGCGGCGCTGCCTACCTCTCCCAGAGAGGGTGGTGGGGCCGTCTCTGATGCTGTCGCTGGCGGCGGCAATAAAATCGCAGTCGTCGCTGCTTCCGGGCCGCCAACGTTGGCTGCCCGCCATACGACGGGGGAGGCGATGCGAAAGGCGGGGGCAAACGTACGCTGCGTCTCGTCAGTCCTAATTCATTTTGCTTAGCGGGGAATATTCGTAGTGCCGTTTTGCTGTTCCCAGCAGGCGAGCAAAGTGTCTATACATACACACACCAAAATCATGACTTTCTTCTCCTAAACGGCAACGAAACCTCGGTCCTGGCGTCTTCATAAGAGAGCAAAAAACATTCACGGTACAGATCACAAGCGACGGGACGGGACGAGCGGTAAATACCGCACATATATGCGCACCTTCTTCCGCGGAAGAGAGGGAGCGTTTTTTGCCGGCCGCATTCAGAGCAACAACCCGCTCTTCGTCCAGCGCGTCCTGCACGCGCCTGGTGGAGGTGCGGTACTCGTGGACGGGGGTTAGGACCGGTCGAAGCACGGAGTCCGCCGCCCAGCCGCCCAGCTCTTTCGTCACCTCCCAGAGCGCCGTGCCTGCGGCGTCCAGCCCCAAGGCGGTTCCCTCGGCCAAATCGCCCGCTAGCACTAGTGCGTCGTCCGTCGTGGTTTCAATCAAACCAGGCAGCCTGTGCAGGGGCGGCATTTCGGAAAAACACGGGGGAGGAACATCTTTCTTGATGGAGGAAATTTTGACGGGGGGGGGTGCAGGTATGGGCCTCGCAAGGGCGGAATTCTTCCGGAAGGTAGCGAGACCTATCGACCAAGGGCGTGTGCAAATATATCCGCTCCTGCCACCTAATGACCGTCAGCGCAAGTCTACCTAAACTATACCGCCAACAGCAGTTAGCTCATCAAGACACAAAAAGTTAAGCAGGTGATCGAAACTACAACAATAGTCTCCCTTCTCTCGATCTACGCAAATAACCACATACGAAGTAGAACAACACGGTACTACGCATATTGTAGGTACGGCAGTTGGCGCACCTGCTCGGCAGCGTTTCCGCGGCCTCCGCGGCCTTCCTGCCGGCCTCCTCCAGCGCCGCCACCGCCTCGGCGCCCTCCCCGACCGCCTGCCGCAACCGCCCCGGCAGCTCCTGCGTCGCCTTCACCAACTCCTCCACGCGGCCGGGCGCCTCCGTGATCGCCTCCCGGGCCGCTCTGGTCGTCTCTAGGGCCTGCGTTGCCGCGCCGCGCGCGCGGCCCGGCGCCGCCGCTACCACCTCCGCCGCGGCCGCCAGGTTGTCCTTCGCCGCCGAGAGGCTTGCCGCTGCCTGCTCGCCGCTCTTGGCGAGCTGCCCGGGCACAGCGGCGACGGTGCGGTATGTCTTTTTGACGGGTTGCGGCAGCGCGGCCCTGAGGAGCGCTACCCACGGGTTAGTGGTTGTGGTGCCGTCCTCCTCTTGTTGTTGTTGCTCGAAGAGTGCCCGCTGCTGTTGCTGCCTGCGTCTCTTTGCCGCCGCGGCCGCCTCCACCGCCTCCGCGACGCGCTTCCTCGAGGAGGACCACCTGTGCAGCGGCGTGAGGAGGGCGTTCGCCGCCCCAGTGCTGGCGATCGTGGCCACCACTACCTCGGTGGTCTGCGAAACGATGGCCATGGCGGTGCCGGTGTCGCTGCCGGCGGTGCCAATATCGCCGTTGTTGTTGTTGTTGTCGTTGTTGTTCCCGGCGTCGCTGCTTGATGACTTGTTCTTGGAAGCAGGGTACACCTTGGGACGGACGAATCCGCCCCACCTCCAAGCCTCCCTGGTGTCCTTGCTCCCGTCAGGAGCGCTGGTACGCTCTTTTCGCGGAACCTTGCTACCACCACGACCAGCTGTTGCCTTCAGCGGCGTGCACGATGTGTGTGTTCGTCTGCTTGTAGTAACAGCAGTGGTGGACCGAGGAGGTGAGATTCTCAAACCGCTTGCACTACCTGTGAACTCCAGCAGGAAGAGCAGCGGAAGATGGAGCCGCATGATGGCGAGAATACGGCGCGGTTGGCGAGAGATCCAATCCTTCGATACCCATCAACAAAGAGGTTTCCAGGCATTGCACATCCGGTGCATCACGTGCCTGCTGTGGAACGCGTGCAGGGTTCGCCCGGGCAGGGGGTGCATGTTTATGGGGCTTCGTGACATGCACACATACGTTTTGCGTGTACGGGTTTTGTGTGCAATCCAAGCTGTGTGCCCCCCATATAGATTGCGGTGGGATTGGATCATTGGATCATTGGATCCACAGCAGAGATCCACACACACCCTCCTCCCTCCACCCGCCGTACACACACACTTATGTGTTCGGCAGCTAGATTGCGCTCACAGAACGAAGCACGTATAGAGCACCATGTGCTTGAAGACAGTCAGTCTCCGCCACCTACATGCAGGTTCGACGTCCTTTCTTTGCCGCATTATTATGTGTATCTTCCCGCTTATCCAAAGAAAAGCATGAGCCAGAACATGCTCAAGTCCTCCCAGCACAAACAGTAGCCTTCTCAGGTTTTTTCGGTGAAGTAAACTTGTTAGATAAAGCATCCAATCGGGGAAGCTAGGTTAGGAATAGGGTTCTGCGCACCCTCTCGATCACCTCAGAATCCCTAGACTAGCAGCCACCGGAGAAACGCGGGGCAACAAAATAATAGCAGAATTACTAGGAAACATAAAAATACAAACAAACACAGAAAGACTGCCCAATCAAGATATCACCACACAGTCGAACGGGATGTGTTGAAGTCTTTACAGTGAGTGAATGGAGGGAAACCGGCTGGATTGTTATTGTCTTCAATTTTGAGGCTTGGAGTCAAGGTCGAAACGGCGCACGGAGGATGAGAAGGAAGAGGCTAGATTACACATACATACATCAGAGAATACTACGGGAGGAGAGTATGCGTACAGCTGGACACCCACGAGAAGCGGCGAAGGCAATCTCTCCCGGCCTCCTTCGTTCGTACATTTTTGACAATGACAAACAACCGCCACGGCATCGCCTGCTGCTTGACCTTCCTTCGGTAAGGTGTACTATTCTTCAATTCATCTTCGATGAAGAAGGTTATCGACGTAAAGCAGTATGACAGCAGTAGTACACCAACACGACGAGGAGCTAGGACGGCAAACAAACCTACCATTCATACATACAATTCTTACTACCTGGTCTACCCCCCGACACCGCAAGCGAGCTCTCTCTATGCATACAGTACCGCCCCATCTCAAGATACCGTAGCAAATGCACCACACCCGGGGTAAGCATTCCATAGGCAGATACAACAAGCACACAAATGTCGTAGTCCAAGAACGACGCAACACGGATGGACGAACGGACGCCAAAAAAGGCCTTAAGACCGGAGCAAAAACGTCAGCATCCGCACTGACTCTCCTGGTCTGGGGGATTTTGACTCAACCCCTCTATAGACGTTTGTGATAACATGTAGCTGTGAAACATCAAGCACAGCTGAAAGAGAGCATCGGGCGTCGTCACGAGGCATTCTGTCATGCACAACGTCACGTACCTGCGACGCACTCGAACGCGGGAGAACAATGAACAGCAGAACAGAAACAAAAAAAAATGAAAAGAAAGACTGAGACCAAGCCACTTCTCTTCTACTCGCTCGCAGCATCAAATCGAATCGAAAATCTCGAAATTCATCATCATTCCCGTGTCGCTGTGGCCGAAGATGTGGCAGTGCGCAACGGCTAAAAGCAACAAAGGAGCGAGGCGATGGCGATGAGGCGGCACACCACAAGACACCGACAACACGTCGGGCGGTAGCCACCCCCAGCATCGCCAAGACACGCCACCCGTTCACCCCCCAACACCAAGCACCGAAAAAAACAAAAAAAGGCAGAGGGGCAACAACAGTCACACGAGCCACGGACGCACACATCACCGACGATGCCCCAGACAACACAAAATAAATCGAGCAAGAACCAAGGCGTACACGCACACAACAACGTCAAGAGGGCGAGGCCCAACAACGAGTAGCCACCACGCGAACATAAAACACACACCGTGCATACATAAAGCAAGTGAACCCACACATCGCGGAAGGGAAGGCCCCGAGAAATGATGGATGGCGTCCGGACGATGGCGTGCGCACGGTTCGCGGAAAGACAAGCAGTAAAAAAAACAAACACATACGGGATCGAGCGGGAGGCGGGAGCGGGTAAAGGTGAACGGTCAAGCAAGAGACAACAAGACAAGAGCGGGAGATGTGCTATGCCTGAAGTGCAAAGAACAATAAACTCCGCGAGGCTTGCGGATATGCAACAGAGGAGTAGATCCTGCGGTATGTACACACGGCGCGCGTTGCCACCGCCGAGAAGAGCAAAAAAAACCATCACCCGCGCCTGTACTCGGTGTCATGCCAAGCACATGCCAACGCACGGGGGGTGGGTGGGGAAAGAAACGAACCCAGATGCATGGGAACAACTAACATGCTTGTGACAACCGAACCATCATTTCGTGCAGCACAATCGTCCAGAAGACGAACAGCTATTTCACAGAACACGACTCGCCTTAAAACACAAGCAAACGCATTCGAAAGCTGAGCGTCAACGCCGCACACCACACCATTTCCCGAACTCGCCCAAAAACACACACCCCGCTGTTCCCTTTTCTCTCTTTCTCTCACCCTCGCCGGTGAAGTCGTCTGCTCTCCAGCGAATCGTCACGTTCCCCGGTGTGGGTATCGAAATGGTGTCTCGCCAGTCCCCCACACTCCAGTCCGGTCCATCGCCCCCCCAGCTGCTGCCCACCACCTGCGACATGGCGCGCGTTGGCGGTGCAGGTTTTTAGCTGTACGGGTACGGTTTGGGGTTGTGTTGGGGGGGGGATTTGACGAGGAGATAATGATGGCGCACATCTTATCATCCCCAGTCGCTGGCTGCTGACGCAATGCAAGCAGCTTTTAAGAAGAGCAAGCCGGGGCGCGTGCGTGCGCTTCTTGAGCTTGCTAGAGGTAAAAAACGACAACAGTTGGTGTGGAGGTCCCACTAGTCAGCAGGGACCACAAAGGGGTGTATGGAGGTGAAAGCCATCGAGCGAAGGGGTTCAAGAAGGTGCGTTTAAGTGTCCCCCCCGCCCCCCGTCCCTCCCTCCTTTCACATCCTCCTCGTTTCTTCTTTCCAGACCCCCCCTGTCCCCGCGATCTTGTTCCTGCGCATACCCCCCGAATGACACGGCTACGTGGCTAGCGGTGCAACGGTACGGACCTGTAGCCAGAACAGGGAGTGACAACCCGCTCTCCGCGCTGCGCTCTTGCGGGAAAGGGTTTCGGTCTAAATACCATAATTTTGTATTCGGGTACTGCTGTACACACTCCGGACAACCCTCATCTTCCCACAGCAGCAGCAGCAGTCGCACCTGAAAGTGGTTGACGTGGAGGTGGAACGGGTGTCCGTCGGCGGTTACCTCCCCGGGGCCCCCTCTGCCACAACCGACCGGTACCCTCCCCCCCCCCCCCCCCTCGTCTACCGCACCACCCTCGTCGTCTCCATTCTGCGAACCCCCCGTGCCTGCATCGATCGGCTCCTCCTTCGCATTCGGTCTCGGCGGTGTTGGCAGTGGGGGCGGGCGGCACCCTTGCTCCCCCTCCCCCCTCCCCTTTCTCTGGTTGACGATGACCCACTCTTCCACCGAACCGAGAGGAACCCTGCGTTTTAGCAATGATTTGGTTCGTTGGCGGGGGGCAGGGTCATGGCACGGATGGCACGGCTGGCAGCCCCTTCGCGCTGGCTCCATTCTGTGGGGTTGTCATGTGAGAGAGATAGCTGGAAATGGGGGAACGGCGGGCTCATCCGCTTGTAGCTAGCTCGGACGGCGAGGGATGTACGGGGATTTGGGCAAGACCTGGCCGTGAATGGCGCGTTAGCACGCCTGGACCAAGCTACAAGTAAACCTCACCTGCCGTAGAGAGAGAATTTCGCCCACCCAAGGAACAAAGTGAGTGCCAAAACTCCCTGCCCCATCTATCGTAACCGAAAAAAAATTAAATAGTTATGCAAGGCTCAAACAATAACAAGACCCATGTGTTCCTGAAATCTCTCGGTCTTGTTAAGGTGCCAGGAAAACGACATCATATTCAATTACCTGCGCATGACGTGGGAGGCGTTGGTGTACTGGACTCCGTTCACGCCGTACCAGGTGTACATGTTCCCGAGGTGGGGCACCTTATCGGCGGCGTTGAACTCGAACACGAAGCGAGACACCTGCTTCGTGGATTTATTTACCGAATTGCCAACAACGAATGGCACATGACATGTACATCCACCCCGTGTGAGCAAAGATGGCCTCGATTCGCATGAGTCAACTCTACGGTAGTGTGAGACTCCTCACGGACTAATTTAACTACCACGCAATGGCTTTGGTGGTGGTTTAGAAACGAGTGAAGCCAAGAAAACTCACGAAAAAGAACGGAAGAAGCCCTCATCAAACGTAAACCAGCACAGCACCAGGCTTGACCCCTAAACGGGGAACCACAAACCTAACACGGCCACCACCAACACCTTGAGCGCGCAGGAACACACAAAAATCACAGCACAGGAAAAAGCAGACGTCTTGGGCAGATACCCTTTCCCGAAAAGCCTCGCTTCTCGCTACATCAGCCACCGTCTCATGCTCGGCCGGCCTGTCTTGGTCACTTCAATCAAGCACTTCTGTAAAACAGCTAGCTCACCTCGTCATCTGGGATGTCTCGCAGGTCTTGCAGCAGTCGATCAGAGCCGGCGGCGGCCGGCGATTCCTCCGGCAGGTCCATGTCCAGGGCATCACCCCCGACGTCCACGAAAGCCAACGTCCCTGAAACCCGCACAAAGAGACCAACAAAGAAAATACCGTGTCATGGGAAAATTCCCGCGGGATAACCCACCCGATAGCGGTAAGAAAGAGGAAGGGTGCGACGGCAGGGGGGAGCGACCTTGGAAGGGGGCCGGGGTAGAGACAACGAATGAGAGGAAAGGCCACAGAGACGAATGCACGTCATCCTTGTTCTCCGCTGCCGCCGCCGCCCTTGCCATCGAAGACAGGCCGGCGTGAGCGTCGTCTGGTTTATGAAGGGGGGGGGGGGAGAGAGTTGTTCTCGATCACGGGTGCGTCGGGATGAGCCATTCAAAAGGAAAGCAGAAACAGCAGTAGCAGCTACAGCAGTAGCAGCTACATCAACAGCAACAGCAACAACAGCAGCACTACACTATGCGGGAAAGAGAGAGCAGCACGTCGAGGGCGGCGCCCTAACACGACGGGGGCAGACGTCACTTGTAACCCAATTCTTACGCCTGGAGCGGTCTTCATTGTTCAGTCTCAACTGAAACCGCGGAAGGACCAACGAATCCTACCAGTCCCCCAAGGGGATGGATGGGGGATCTCTCTTCTGCTGTATCTCACCCTCAAACACGTCGGTTGCCTGCCCGAGGTACGACCTGATGGAGCCCTCCTCTCCCTCGTCATCGCCGCCTCCCTTCGACGAAGCCAGCCGATACACCCCCGCCTCGTCGCACCGCACGGCCAAGTCAGCGCGCGAGCCGGGCGCGATCACAACGTGCCCCCCCCCACCCTGCAGCCTCGGCACCGGGCGAAGGTAGACCCCGTCTCTCGCTAGCGTGAGCAGCGTGCAGCCACCTGAAGCCTTACCCCCCCCGCTGTGGTCTTCGGCGGTGCTATATTCTCGCCGTTCCCCTTGGCCGGTGCCTTGTGTGGCGGTAGCGGTAGCGGTAGCGTCTGCGGGTATGAGGGACACGTGCATGTGGTCGTTGTTCCCGCCGTGGATCAACCGGACGCGGAACGCCTCTCCCGGCTGCGCCTGGACGATCGGCTGGTACTGCCCGTTCACCGTCGCGAAGTGCAGCACCTCGCTCTCCCCTTCCTCCTCTTCGGCTGTTTCCCCTTTATCGTCCTTGCTCTCCGCCTGGTTGCTGCCGCCGCCGCCGCCGCCGCCGCCGCCGCCGCCGTACAGCGGCATGTTGCTGCCGGCTATCTCGGAGGCTGCCTTGTAGTTGCGCAGGGTGCCTGGTGTCACGCCGTAGGCCGTGTTTGTGCGGAGCAGGGTATGTACGCGGACCGCAGTTTTACCCGAACAGAAAAAAGCGCGTGGCATTTTCGTTGTTGGTGTTGTCGAAGCCCCAGCAGCACGCGCGCGAGAGAGGGGGGGGGGAGTGAACGGCTGGCCATGACACTGTCGCAATCCGATTGCTTTCTTCTCACAGTGCAAAGACAGGAGGCGGAAACGAAGAGCAAATGGACAATTGGATGCGTAACACAAGAGGAGGAGCGGACCAGTGCGCGTCGAAAAGTCAAGGAGTGCTGAGCTTGAATTTCTTGCTCGAAAGCAAAGACTTCGCACAAATTCCCTCCCTCCCTACCTACGGAATCTTCCAATTTCTTTTTTGCTTCTTCAAACGTCATACCCCCCCCCCGGTGCCCCCCTTGAATTCTTCCCGACTCCAGCGCTGCCCATATCTTAACCTGACTCAATGTTGGTCTCCTGCAAAACCATCACGACCTCCCGCATGGCTTCGATGTCAGGAGGAAGGGTCCCTTCGGGATCCTCAACGACTAAAGCTCCTGACATGCCACCCAGCGTCTGCATGGAGCTAGATCCCTCTGTTCTCGCAGAAGTAACACCGACATGCGAGGCAAGAGTGAGGAGGGGGGGGGGGGGGGGGGGGGGTAGGGACAACTGCTCAAGCGCGTCAGGAGGCTACCTCGTAACTTTTACCCATGTAAAAAGACATGGCTCTAGGCGGCATACGAAGACAATAGAAGCCGGGGGATGTACAGAAGAAGGAACAGCTGCTGCAGCGGCAGCAGCAGCAGCAGCAGCAGCAGCAGAGAGAGAGAAAGAGAGAGACAGGCAGACAAAGCGTAAAGAGGGTGGTAAAATAGTCAACAAGCAAGAGAGTACAAGGACGAATCGAGGATAGCCTCTTACCGAAGTGCGGATGGTAGTAGAAGGTGCCCGGATAGTGGTCGGGAGGGAGATCGTACACGTACTCCAAGCTATCACCGGGATTCGCTCGTCTGCGAGATCACAAAACGAGAAAGAGCCCGATTGATCGCACAAGAAGCGACGGCGGGAGATAAGCACGACTTTCTCACCGCAGGCTGCAGGAAAGGGGGAGGAAAGGGTCTGGGTTTGAGGTGTCTGTAGACAAGGTTTTCTGTAGCTGCTGCGACTAGAAGAGACGGCGGGCATGGGTTTAAATTCCGAGAGCACATAACTTTGCGTTTCAACCAGGCAGGCACGCATTTAAACGGTCGTGCCCAAGCATGTACCACTGGGGTACTGTTGAGTACGCCGAACCAAAAACACCACGTCTTGCACTCATGTGAGGGTTAGCTGTTTGCTGCTTGGCACGACTATTAAATATGCTCGGAAAGGCCAATACCGTTTCTCACCCCCCCCGGCCTCTCGTAAGATCACTGCGTCGGTCGGTTACCCCCACGTGGCCGACCCCGCTCCTAGGGGTGCCAAGGTTTGAAAACAACGGCTATGTAAAACAATGAGTACTCCCAACCCTCTCTCGCTTCCCTCAGCCCTCGCCCATCCCTCCCCCGTACACCCGCGGCAATCGAACTCCAAAACGAAATCGTAGAAATCCATCCGGCAACACACACACACGAAGATGTTCTCGAGCCCTCCTTCGCGCGTTACACTCACCGGTAGATGTTGTCGCTGACCCCGGACGGCGACACGTGCAGCCCGTGCACGTGCAAATTCGTCACGTTCGGCCAGGCCTCCACCTTGCCCTCCAGCGCCGCCCGCCCATCGCCCCCCCCCCCCCCCCCCCCCCCC